TTCAAACAATTTTTTTTTTAAGCGTTTCACCCCAAGCAAGGCGAGAAGCCACTAGGACGCAAGGGGTTACAGAAAATTTGGAGCAAGATAGAAGTGATAGAAGAAAGGATGAGGAGAAAGATAGTGGATAGATCAAGGCAACTGGGGATGTCGATTGATATTACATTTGAATAGCTGGAGATTATAGCCTCAGGGAAACTGGAATAGGGAAGGAGTTCCACAGGCGAGAGGTGCGAGACATGAAGCTATTAGAGTAGAAGAGACAGCTACATTTAGGGAGTTTCTGACAGTGAAGGGGTGAGAGCGGGATGCCAGCCTGGTAGGGCGCTTGAACTCATGAAGTCTGGGAACCAGCGAATGCAGCTCCCTCGGAGCAATTGCCATGAAAGTATTTGTAAAACAGACAGAGAGAGGCGACGGCGCGTCTGTGAGAAAGTGACTGGAGACGAGATGCCAGAGCAGGGCCAATTATTTACTATTATCATTGTTTTATTTTCCTTGATTTCTGGTGTATACGCATTTCTTTCCGGAAATGGCGTCATGACATTATCCACTGTATAGTTTTGAAAAAGAAAATCGTATATATTTTACATAGATAAAGCCCTTCGTAACGTGTGGGCTGTACTCATGAGTATAATTTTGTGTATTTTGTCTATCAGTTTGACTCTCATTCAAGCTAAACCCCCGTCTACCTTTTTGACTCTAGTGCAACTCAAATACGCGTCTGCGTTTTTGACTCTCACAAAAACCAAGCTGATGTCTACCTTATTGAATATGGTGCAAAGCAAACACATGTCTATCTTTCTATTGTTTATCAAAATGACAGAATTCAGCGTTCAATAACATGGAAAATATTGTTTATATCATACAATAGTGCAATAGAAATTGCCAACCACACATACTGAAAAATTGTGTTAGCCCAAAATGTAAATTCTGTGATAAATATCCAGAAACAATTGACCATGTTGTATCAGGTTTCACGGTATTGCACCCACTGAATATAAAAGCCGGCATGACAGAGTGGGTGTAAATTTAGTTCATTATCTCGTCTATTAGTCTATTCTGAAAGTAATTACCTATTGCACTGCTATAAATTATCTACCCAACGCAGAACTAAGATTCAATGGTAGCCAACTGGTTGTAAAATTAGTTTATTAACTTTTCTATTAGTCTATTCTGAAAGTAATTATCTATTGCACTGCTATAAATTATCTACCCAACGCAGAACTAAGATTCAATGGTAGCCAACTGGTTGTAAAATTAGTTTATTAACTTTTCTATTAGTCTATTCTGAAAGTAATTATCTATTGCACTGCTATAAATTATCTACCCAACGCAGAACTAAGATTCAATGGTAGCCAACTGGTTTGTAAAATTAGTTTATTAACTTTTCTATTAGTCTATTCTGAAAGTAATTATCTATTGCACTGCTATAAATTATCTACCCAACGCAGAACTAAGATTCAATTGCAACTGGTTGTAAAATTAGTTTATTAATCTACCCAACGCAGAACTATTGCACTGCTATAAATTATCTACCCAACGCAGAACTAAGATTCAATGGTAGCCAACTCATCAAAAATTCATTTAGGCTGTTCTGAAGGTAATTACTTATTGCACTTACTCACTTGTGAGTCAACCATAAAAGATATTAAATGCAGATAGGTTGGAATTGTTCATGACATTTTTTTTTTTTTTTTTGACGGCAGCGTTCATTATTGTCTCCTCTTATATTTGTTTTGTTAACTGGAACCGTGTTTTAAAACACTGCACAGATCATTTCCTTTTTTAGCGTTCCCACCCAGCTAAAAAACAAACACGCTATTATTTATTTATCAGAGTCACTTGTAGTGGCAAGATAAAGTTTTTGTTTTGCTTTGCAAACAAAATCACCTCCAAAATATTGAAAGATAAGATATACTTAATAAACACAAACAATTGGAATAGTTTTGGAATATTGAATGACTATTCATCCATCCCAGTAAATCTTTTAAGAAAAGTGAATATAAAATAATTACAGTGTAACCCGGATATAAGAGAGTTGTCGGGACCGGAGAAGAAGTCTCTTATATCCGGGTTTCTCTCATATCCGAGTTTGGTCTATATGTATTCATTAGCACAGGCTCTAATTTGGGGACCAGAGAAAATCTCTCTTATATCCGGGTTTTCTTATATTCGGGTTTGGTCTATATGTATAGATTTTTATAGAATGGGACCAGAAAATGACATCTTATCCAGGGGGTTTAATTTTGTTTAGAGTATCGGGTCTTTCTTATATCCGGGTTTTTTAAACTAGAATAAAATGTACCAGAACGACATCCTAATTTGAAGTAGATATAAGACTGACCCGGATATAACCTGGATATAAGAGACCCGGATATAAGAGAAACCCGGATATAAGAGAGATTTTCTCTGGTCCCAAATTAGAGCCTGTGTTTAATGTATATAAAATAGACCAAACCCGGATATAATAGACTTCTTCTCCGGTCCCGACAACTCTCTTATATCCGGGTTACACTGTATATCTCTTTTAGGTGTGCTCTTCCTAACTCCTAAATTTTTCCACAACTTTCTCTCAGTTTTAAAGTTTGGGAAGGTTTACTTGCTTGATGTCTTACGTGCGCCAGTTTTATTCATGCAAGTCATTTTTTTTTTTTTTTTTTACAGTAAAGATCCCCCTTTACAGGACCCGGGGGCCACTCGAGGTTGAGAATTATATTAGCCTAGTTTATCCTAAATATTGAATAAGGCATATACGCAAACAAACAAGGCTCGTGACTCCGATGGGAAATTTAAAAGGAACAGATATTTATTACACTGGCATAGCAAAAACAATGAACAAAATAAATGTTTTACGAAATAGCTTTCACAAAAATTTCGTTTTGTCTGCCTAAAGGCAAGATAACTAATTCAAAATATAGAATTATTAACTCATAAAAAGATATATATTATTCAACAAACTTTCAATAATAATCGAAAAAAAAAACACGAGATGGTATAATGCAAATAGCGTTTTTAAAAAGGTTCAAAACATACAAACTGACGTTTTTGACTGAATTATTTTCGACTGGTTCTTAGCAAGCCATTTTTTTAGAAGATTTAAATGAACAAATTTTTCACATAAATTTTTTTTACTAACAGTTTGGCTTTTTATTTTTTTTTTTTCAAAATACTTCTCTCAAAAGCATATATAAACAAGCCGAGACTATTATAATATTTATGTATTTTTAATCTATACTTTTTTATAAATCCTTTAATTTTCTTATATATTTTTTACTATTTTTCCCTCAAGAGAAAGAGCAATGAACAAATTTAGTATATACTATTATAATATATCATATTATCTTATTATAATTGTGCTTGTCCGTTCGTTAGTTCGCACGACCGCTACGCCCTGCCAATCACATAAATAATTGACTATTCCGTTTTGATTGCGTGGAAAGAAGGGAAAACACTAATTGGTTTCAATGAGAAAATCAAAGAAAGAAAGAAGGAAATATAGAAGTGTTTAATGGATGTTTTAGCAAAAGACGGAAAAGACATATCAGAGACTCTACCTGATTTCCGTGAGAAAATGAAAGGAAGAAAGAAAGGAAGGAAGATAGAAATATTTAAAGTTATTTCAGTAAAATGGAAAAGTTGTCGATTTCAAATCTTTTCATTTGTACCCCCTTACTTCTTAAAATAACGACCAGCATTCATATTTTTATGATTGCTAATGCAATATTTTGTTAAAGTTGTTAAGCTCAAATATTTAACGATGCGATAGGGGAATTTATACGGATATTTTATTTTCGTTGGACTCACCGTGAGCTTATTCACTCATTAACTTAAGAATTAAATGTCATCAGAAAATTCAAATAGGAAAACCGTGAAATTTTTACGGCTTAAAATCTAGTTTATAATTATTTTATATTCACCTTTCTTATAAAAAAAGATTTAGTGTGATGAATAAACGGTCAATCAAGATTTCACAAGTATTCCAACTGTTTGTGTTTATTAAGTACATCTTTAACTTTTAATATTCTGGAGGTGATTTTGTCTGCAAGTGACTCAGATGAATGAATGATAGCGTGTTTGATTTTTTAAGTTGTGTTGTCAAAACCTTCTATGGCAACAGAAAATGTCTATGACTGAAATTAAATAGTGTCTTGAGAAACAATGCAATGGGATTGAAAGTAGTGAATAATGCAGTGTTAAGAAAAAAAAAAAATTTACGTGTAACTTTTAAAAAGAAACATCGGTTCTCAAAACACGGGAAAAAAGCACGTTCCGCATTATTTAATGCAGAACACACCCTTCAGCAACAAACTGTGGGACAATCCTGCATTTTGTTGGAGAGTTGGCAACCTTCTTTTCTTTTTTCTTTCTTTCTTTTTTTAAGCATTTCACCCTTAGCAAGGCGGGAAGCCACTAGCACGCAAGGGGTTATAGAGGATTTGGAGCGAGAGCAGGGAGGAGTGATACAGGAAAGGATGAGGAAAAGGATAGTGCGTAGATCAAGGCAACTGGCGATGTCGATTGACATTACATTTGAATAGTTGGAGATTCAGGGAAACAGGAATAGGGAAGGGAGTTCCACAGGCGAGAGATGCGAGATATGAAGCAATTGGAGTAGAAGAGACGGCTACATTTAACAGTTTCAACAGTGAAAGGGTGAGAGCGGGATGCCAGCCTCGTAGGGCGCTTGCATTCATAAAGTCTGGGAACCAGCGAAAGCAGCTCATCGGAGCAATTACCATGAAAATATTTGTAGAAAAGACAGAGAGAGGCGACGGCGCGTCTGTGAGAGAGCGACTGCAGACGAGATGCCAGATCGCGGCCAATAATATTGCATATCCGTCTCTGGATCTTATCAAGAACCCTGAGGCAAACAGTAGGGGCTCCAGAACATATATGGCAGCAATACTCCATGCAAGGTGAATGGTTGATTTGTAAATTTGAAGGATCGATTCCGGGGAGAAAAATTTTATGGTGTAAGTTTTGAATATCTTTTCTAGCCTTGAAATCTGGACCTGTCATTACGCAAGGGAGCTACTTAAGGCATAGGTGTCTTCACACTAATGAAGCATGCCTCTCGATCTACTGGAAAGTAAGTTGAAATTTCATAGTTTCATTTGACGTAAAATTCTTTTTGTACGAGATAAAAGTTCAAATTCTTTTTTCAGCTATAATTATCTATATAAATAAAGCGCAGTGTACGTATGTCCGTCCGTCCGTCCGTCCGTCCGTCTCGGTGAATCATAAACAACCTGAAGTAACAGGTAGTAACCACTGTAATAACAGTCGATTAATAAATAAATAAATAAATAACTCATTTAAAGTTAAATCTAAATATCGAACAGAGTGAAAGGTTTAAAAAAAAAAAACAATTCTTTATTAAAGGTTTAACTTTAATTACGCTTTTCACCACAATTGCAATTGATATCGTCTAATTAAGCCGTAATTAAAACTTAATCGGGGCACGGTACGTTGCTCATGTTCCTTTTTTTTTTTTTTTACTTTTTCTAGCACGTGTACTATGGCGTGTTCGATATATTGTACAGTTCAGGTTTACTAATGTCTTTTAAGAGTGACTTTATGTAAAGGGATCGTAAAGAATGATAATTCTAAAAGAAAATAAATTTGAACGCAAAATAAATGTAAACAAACTATGGAGAAAATTCAAGCGAAATTTAAAAAAAAAAAAATTCGCTTGAAGATGGAACAGAGCTTACTTTAATTCAATTTAATTCAAATAATTATATTGAAGTTTTCGGCTCTTGTTTTGAAACATGAGACTTCTTATGTAGCGTTGTTGGAATTATATTTTAAATATATATATATATATATATATATATATATATATATATATATATATATATATATATTAGTGTGCAGCTTATATTTTATATCATAAAGAAACAATTTATACAAAGAATTAAATAGCAATGTTAATATGATTAATGGCGAAATCACTTCGCTAACGAGACTTAATGAGACATTAACTTACACTCAATTCCTTGAATAATAAGATCCTTATATTCGAGTTGTTGTCAGATGAAAGACACATGTCGAGTAATTGCAAAAATTTCAAATTGTCATCATCAGAGCGCAATTTTTTTCCATGCATAGTCATACTACTTTTTCTTTCTATGTCCCGTGTCGTTTCAAGACGTAGGGGATCATGGCTCTCCACTTCTCCTATCCCTTGTGGCTATCAATAAGTTTCGTGCTTCTGCCCACTCCCCAGACCACGTTCTGCCATCCACTTGCTTAAGTCCACCAGGTATGTCATGCGTTTCTTTCCCTTGTCTCTTTTTCCCTCTATTCGACCTGTGAGTATCAGATTCTCCAAACCCTCCTTTCTCATGTGTCCCAGAATTTTCATCTGCCTTTTCCTTATGTTAAGTATAAGCTTTCTTCTTGTTTGCATCCTCGCCAAGACCTCAACTTTGCTCACACGCTCGCTCCATGATAACCTTAGCACCCTTCTGTAGAATCATACCTCCGCCGTCTCGAATCTCTTCTTCATCTTTGAGGAAACCGTCCAACATTCGCTGCCGTATAGGAGGACGGATGTCGCGTAGCATCTCAGTACTCTTTTCTTTGTCACCAAAGAAATCCTCCTGTCTCGCAGTATTCTGCCTAGATTTTGGAATGCATCCTTGGCCATCCTAATCCCGTCTTCGGATCAAAGACGAAATATGTGTTGACCAAAAGATTTTTTTTTAATTATGCTATTTATTGACAGATAAATATATGTTTTGGAGCGTGCGTTGCCGCAACGCTAGATTTCTTAGTGTTAGAGGTAGAGGGTTACGTTAGGAGGCCATCTGTGTGTATAGGATTGGAAGATAACAGTTAATTCTAACCTCGAATAGGGTAAGATTGTAGTGATCCGGAAAACATCCTGTTCAGAGACGATTCCACAGGGCAGAGGTTCGCGGGAATGTGGGCGGTTTGCTTTTATGTAAATGACATGGCGTGTTCTTGCCGTGAAGGTTTGCCTTGGCGTGACTAGGTAGGTGCATTGTAATCAGTTCCAGACGTGCGACAAGACAAGACAAGACAAGACAAGACCTTTGTCTTCGGGCATAGGGTAACTCAATCAGGTCTCTGTCTTCGGATAGAGACTCGGCTAAGAAAAACAGACAAGTAATGTACCCGAGCCTGCTTTTGTGGGGACTGGGTAAATTTTGACCAATTGTATCGCATCTCGTTTCAGCGGGGAGAAGGTAAATAATAGTCGTATCGGAGTCAGGCAGCTTGCTGCCAGGCTTGCGACAATCAATACCTCTGTCATCGATCAGAGGATAACAAAACATGTCTTCGGGCAGAGGGTAACTCAGTAGGAGCTCTGTCTTCGGATAGAGACTCGGCTAAGAAAAACAGTAATGTACCCGTCCCTGTTTTCGCGGGGGCTGGGTAAATTTTTACCAATGGGCCGGATGAAAATGCTCAGGTCCTCTACAATAATCCTGACCTTGTGTCACAATTCATTTCAGTGGGGGACTGAGTAAATATCAGTCGTATTGGAGTCAGTCTTCATACTAAGTATACAGGCGTTACGACAATAGCCTAAGCATTATGTAGAGAGAATACTTCAACGAATTAACAAGTCTGTGTTATGAAATTAATCTTTAATAGGAAGTTATAGTATGGGGGGTGGCTACCAGTTCAATGAAAGAGCCACACTGCTACTCTTGTTGACCCCTATATTTTAGTTCTAATAAACTCGAATTATGTAATAAAATAATTTTTAAGTGTCTTTCATGTTACGAGAGTGCATTTACGTATAAATTATGTGCAGAACATTTTTATTTTGCAGAAATTTTTAAATTTGTGTCTACATTTATGTGCAGAAATTTTTTTTGACCGAAATAAAAGTTTATTTTTAAAATAAGCTGTTTTGAAATTTATATGAAGAAATATCACTTCTTATTTCTTCCGAAAAAAATGAGCTTTTGTTAAAGTAAACGGCTAGGGGAGGGCATCAAAATCAACGATCAAAAGGGAGCCATGAATAGAAAAAGGTTGAGAACCACTGCTTTAGACGGTCACATGTTCCCACTTTAACGAATTTCATGTATTCGGTTTAGATTTTCATATCTTTCTCCTAGACTGGTTGCCAAGAAATGCTGAAGAGCTCAGTCTGTACTACTATTTAACTCATAGCTGGGGGGTTCTTATCTATTAACACCGTTTAAGTAATTGTATTTTTAGGTTATTATATATTGACTCAAAATGGTTGTATACATGTATTTCCTCATGATTTTATGTTTGAAGTTTTAACTCTTTTTTGAAAATCTATTAAACATCTTTACTCAAATGCTGCAAGATATACGAAACACTTAGAACTAATTTAACTGGTAGCATTTTAAACATGTCTTTCCTTACTAAAGGCCAAGTCCCTTTAGTAATTCTTTAGCCAACTATAGCAGCAAACCCAAACTGAAATTTTAAATTTTCGCTCACAAAAGAACGACAAGATTTGAGATAAGCCTCCAGTTCTGGCGAGAGTAGCACTATGACTTGGCCTTTAGTAAAGAACGCTATGGTTTTAAAATATTATTGGATGACCTATTAATTATTTTCTATTCTTTTTATGTTTATTTACTTTTTTTCAGCCAATCCAAGGGAGTTTGGCAAGGACTAAATTTTATGAAATTTCCTACTGTATACATCTGGAAAATATCTATAACAATACAAAGATCGTCGATGAGAAGAAGTGTAGCCTGCAGATGAAATATCCAACACTGCCAATGAAATCTGTTTGTATTCGGGCAAACACAGATATAGGCTATTCACCTTACTCGGCCTTCATTTTCAATCAAGATGAATCATGTAAGAAGAAAAAACAATTTTGCCACTTATATATACATGAAAAGATTACTTAACTTTTGAATATTAATTTTTATCCCGATATCGATGTTCTTGTTAAATTTCTGGCTAAAATTCCCAGTCTTCCGGGGTTTTAGTTTTAAACGGTATTTCCAATTTTTTTTTTACTTTCACTTTGTTCCGCGTCTTTTTTGTTCTGCTTTTGACTCCGTTTTGCGCATGTTCATGAAATTTTGCTTTTGTTCAGTTTTAAATCTTTCATTTTGTTTTTTTTTTCCAGTTGTAATATTTTCCTTAGAAATTAATTTTTTTATGGTTCATATGAAAGTTATGTCATATTATTAATTAAATTGTAACATTTGTTAATTTTTATTATTAATTATAATATATTAATTATTATTTTAAATTAATTTATTGTTATTATTAAAGCAATATTTGTTAATATGTCGGCATTGACCCATCATATCATTCTTCTTCTTTAATAATCTAATTTGATTATTAAAAGTTAATATTGCTATATTTTTCTTCTAAACAGAGTGTACAGTTCCTATTGGTAGTATTATATGGGGGTACTTATTTTTATAATTTCCCATTTAACTATATCGATGGCGGGATAAAAATTGATATTTAAGATTGAAGTAATCTTTTCATATAATATCATTAACGCTCAATATTTAATATTATTTTAATATTTTTTTTATATATAAATATCCAATAAATTTAAAATATATATATATATATATATATATATATATATATATATATTATATATTTTTATATATATAGGTAGTAATCGTTGGTATAATCCAAAAGCGCACAATATAGATTTATATAAATAAATGACAAAAATAGCGCTCAATTTTTTTCATGCCAAAATTTTCGTACAATGGCAATTAAAGATTTTAGTTAATGAACATTTCCAAAAATTTAAAAAAAACATATTTTTATATTTATAGTTTGTAAATATATAGGGACAAATAAACCATAATATATATGAATTTTAAATTTAAATTTCACAGGATTTTTCAATATGTTTATGGGGTTAGTTAGGGTTAACTCTTGACAAGGCTGTTAAACAGGTTTGAAAATATGAGAATTTTAAGTTTAAAACTATTTTTCAAACAGTTTATGGTGTCAAGGACAAATTTTTCACCATAAAAATAAACCGTTGAATTTAAATCAAATTTCACAGTAAAAACTGTTTATTCGAATTTTAAATTTGACACCATAAACAGTTTGAAAAAATATTTTTAAATTTAAACTCACACTATATGTTTTGGAAGTCAATTTGAGGTGATTCTGATCAATTTTTTGGAAAATATTCGAATTTTTAAATTTTAAAGTGACAATTTTTCATACTGTTTATGGTGTCAAAGAAGAGGAAATGACACCAGTTTGAAAATATTCGTATTTTCAAAATAGTTTTAAGGTGAAAAATATTAAACGAAAATAAATTTAAATTTCACACTATTTTTCAAACTGTTTATAGCGTCTATTTGTAAAAGTTGACTCCTGACAAAAGACAAACTGTCACCATAAACAGTTTTGAAAAATATTCGAATTTTTAATTTGAATTTCTGATGTTTCTGGTGTAAATTTTAGAAGGTGACTCTGACAAGGGAAATTTTGAAAATTTTCGAATTTTAAATTTAAAAAATCAAATGACATAGTGACTTATGATAAGGGAAATCACCATAAACCGTTGTGAAAACTATTCGAATTTTAAATTTAAATTTCACGCTATTTTTCAATATGTTTCTGGTGTCAATTTACAGAAGTGACTCCTGGCAAGAGACAAACTGACACCATAAATAGTTTTGAAAAATATTCGAATTTTAAATTTAAATTTCACACGATTTTTCAATAAGGACAAACTGACACTATAACTGACATAAATTTTATAGAAAATATGACATAGTTTATAAAAATAAATGCTCTGTTTAGGACAGTAAATTTGTTACAGATTATAAATATTTATAAAAATCGTATAAATGACTGTCTGTCGAATTTAGTCCATTTTAATTTGTGTGGTTTAGGTGATATTGTTATGCAAAAACTATATTTACTAATTAGAAATAGAAAACCTTACTTTAATTCAGCAACCCCCATTTTAAAAAGAATTTTGAATATTTTTGTGCGTCTATAAACGTGACAATTTTTGTGAATACGGACGTCCACACATGACATTATCAGAAAATAAAAGCGGTAACTACAGTAAATTTAAAACCAAAGTTTCAAAAATTCAATAAAACATTAGATTACAAAGAATATTTTCCTAATTTTTTAACATTACTAGGTTGTTAGAAATTATATAAAAAAGTCGCTCACTTTATATTCTTCAAGTAATTTTTACAGATATGTCCGATGCAGAAAAAATTAGTTCAATTTCCAATTGTCAGTTAATCTGTCAACACCTTAAATAAACACCTACATCCGTGTTAAAAATGCATTTCTGCAATATTTTAAACGAAAAGTAATATTTATCCCAAATTAATTAAAGTTGAAAAAGGCTAATATTCCTCAAATAAGCTTTCAGAAAAGTATATTTTATTGTTGAAAATTTATTTTAATAAAGAGATTTTCATTGTGTTGAGATGGGTAAAAATGTCTAAAAATTAGTGGTTTTTAGTGATTAAAGCACAAACTCCTTCCAGTCAATTTAAATTAGTTTTCTGTTATGGGGTCCACCCCTTTTTCATACAAGTGGACTCGACCAGTATGTACTTGAACTGCTGCTGTTAAATACCCAGAGTCAGTCAGAGTAGAGAGGTGGAGATTGTGATTGAGTTAGAGGTAGAGTAATAGTGTGAGGTAACCGCTTGTAGAAGTCACAGTTGCAAGCACGTAGACTCTAAGGAAGTCCTACTTCGAGACTGGATTTACCTGACTGTGTATATATATTATTATTGCTACTAACCACGTTTCGGGATCTACTAACCGTATTACCCATTGTATTATTGTGTAAATACATTTATTTGTTATATTTCATTCCTGCGTTTGTCATTCATTGGAGACCGGATTTCATCTCGAAATCCACAACATTTTCAAATGCAGCAAATTATTTTGCTTATTGAAAATATTAAATCTAATCTATTAGCTTGAAATTAAAACTAAAACAAAAGTTTCAAGAAAGATTTTTCATTTTTAAAAATTCATTTTTATCGTGTTTCTTTTGAGTTACCTAAATTATTATATATATATATATATATATATATATATATATATATATATATATATATATATGAAATAAGTAATCATCAAAATATATTTTTCAGCACCTCCAACAGTTAAAAATGTGACAGTCAAAGAGACAAGTGATCCGCAAATGTTGATGGTCAGCTGGTCCTATAATCCAAGTGACAAAAGCAAAGTAAAAATCACGAATGTTACGATTTTCTGGTGTCATGGAAAGAAACTTTTTACTGATGTGTTAGTAGTCAGCTGTGAGGTAAGAATTTCATTGCTATTTTTGAAGTAATAATTAAATAGTCACGGATATCGCCACGGATTGAGGAAGCAGAGAGTCAATTTCGAATTCCAGTCAATTTTGTTAAATTCACTTACGTACAAATAAGCCACGTAAGGGAAAATAGCAGGACAGAGTAAATCCTATAGTCTTGGCTGGCAACTGGTTTGAGAGAAGGACAACTCTAAATTAAAAAAATCCTCACTGGATGTCTCATTCAGATTTAAACATTAAATAACTTAACAATGAACTCGTAAAATCAACCATTCGAATTAAATAACCTTCTTGGTGTGGAGTGATGGTTAGTGAGGCTAGTCTAGATGACTATTCACACTGAGTAGTGAGTTTGATCCTCACCGGGTGCCCCATTCTGATTTAAACATCAAATAATTTAACAAGTGTTGACATGTTATAAAATCAACCACCTTAACTAAGTAAGCACCTTTGTATGCCGTAATCATTAGTGTGGTTAGTCTGGTTGGCCATTACTACTGAGTAGTGAGTTTGATCCTCACTGGGTGCCCTATATAAAATTTGACAATATATTACCCAACAATAAATCAGTCAATCTTGCTAAATAGGCACTTCAGCATGAGGTAAAGGTTAATGAGTGTAGTTCAGTTGACCGTAATTACTGAAATGTGACTGAAATTCTCAGTTAGTATCTCTACAAAAATTCCCCATTAAATAACTCAATGAAGGTTGATATATTGTAAAATAAGCCAACTTAACTAAATAGTCTGGTTAATCATTGCTATTGACTAGTACCCCAAACAAAATTTGACATTAAATGACCCAGCCAACCTTACTAAATAGACACCTTGCTGTTGGCTAATGTTTATCAAAGTTAGTCTGGTTGACCATTACTATTAAATAGTGATTTCGATCCTCATTGGGTACCTCATACAGGATTAAGTATTACTGTTATATAGGAATAAAATGTCGCTGCCGACACCAGAGGTTGAAGACAGATCGCTAGTGAGCAAACACGGGCGATTCCATTTTTGAATAAGTAGATCACACGATGACAAAGGAAAACACACACACACACACACACACACATATACATATATATATATATATATATATATATATATATATATATATATATATATATATATATATATGGGAATTAGCGTGGCATCTAATGGATCACTCTTTCTATTCTATCCTCTATTACTATACAAATCAGTCTTTCTACACTATCTTCTATCTCTATACTATTTACTATAATATTTCTCTATTCTGATCACTACACGGATTACTATTCAAGCGAGCATTATCGTGCAAGTACTATTAGTGCAAGTGTTATTCAAAGGTGTCTGACACTAGTATTGTTCAACGGTGTTACTATAGTTGTATCTGCGATTACAAAATCTCTACTATAACGAACATTACGAAAGTGACAACGAGTATTTGTTGATATTACAGAAGTGGCAACGAGTGTTAGTTGACATCACAAAAATTATATAACGCAATAGCGGTTGACATATAAAATCAACTAACCTAACTAAATAGTCACCTTGGTGTGGAGCAATGTGTAGTGAAGCTACCCTCGTTGACCATTATTACTAAGTAGTTATTTCAGTTTCGTAAAATCAACCCACCAAAGATTGTAAATATCTTGGTATGGGCCAATTGGTCACAAGACTAGTCTGATTGACTATTACTACCGAGTAGCGAGTCTAAATGACCACAACTTGACACTAGCGTTTGTTTCGGTGTCGAATTCTGGGTAACCCACAGAAAATTCAACAATAAATAACCCAAGTGTTGACATGCAAAATCAACCATATAAACAGCCTCTTTTCGATTTTCAAATAAATTGTGTAGTTCTTGTTTTTCTTTTTTTGCATACGTATTTTATTTCACAATTGCATTTAATTTAAATATTTTAGGATCATATCGACTGGATTACCGTTGTAGCCAATGAAAGTTATCAGCTCCAACTGACCAAGGTTGTTGACGTCCATCATTTTCATGTTGCAGTTGTCTTAAATAACAGAGCCGGTAGCCAAGGAATGACTTGGTCAGAATGCATCTTCACGCAGACTGGTTGTAAGTAAACCTTATGCATATATCAGATCATTGCAAAAGTTTGTGTCCAATTTTCGTTGTTAATGACCACAATTTGACACTAGCGTTTATTTTGGTGTCGACTTCTGGTGTGTTCTAGATTGAAACTTTTCATTGTTCATTTGCTAGTCAGACTTTGTTGAATGTTGACGTTTTGTTCACAAATGAATGCCTTAGGCTTAAAAGTTCCACTTTCGCTATATTATGCGCTATGAATTTCAGAAAGGACTAAGCATTGGAACTGCGACAAAATAAAAAAAAAAAACATTCAGAAGGTTTATTATTTTGATTGTGCACTAATCTCTTTGGACGGTCAAAAAGTGGTGTGGTAGATTTCATCAGAGTGATTTTAACCTAAACGGTCAACCCCGCTCCAAGCGTCTTTCTGATGTGAATGCTCACGTAGAGAATAAACTGAAGATTTCGATGAAAGAAATTGCTAAGAGTCTGAAAATCGATATCTCAACTGCCTTAAGCAGTTTAAAGAGATTTGCGTTCCAGAAAAACAACTGATTTTGGAAAATCGAAAAGATATCATCTTCCACCCCATCAAAGCAAGGACGCATATTGCTAAACAGATCTTACAGAAGCATAAAGAGCTGAAATAGGAAACCTTCTAGAACCGATCGTAGTCTCCTGATTTGGTTACATTAGATTTTCATTTGTTCTGATCTGTACATAACAATTTAAATGATAAAAAATTGATTTTGTACAGTCCGTCAAAAAGTACCTAACAAACTTGTTTCAACACAAACAAGAAGTTTCTACAAAAATTTAATCAAAAAATAATGTACTTGAGTAATAAATGTTTTTTTGTCAGTATGTAAAATTTTGTCTATATTTCTGAGATGAGGTAATATGTACACTATTTACATTATTCGGACTATTTATTACAACGTTTCGGCCGTTGTACGCCCCGGCCTTGTTCAGGTGGTTGGAATGTCGAACTGAACCCTTTATTTCGCTCACTGGGGTAGACTGTTCTAGTTCCACGTGCCATGTTTAATGAATGTCATTTGTCAGTTATCTCCTCTCCAAGTTCTCCACTGCCTTAACCGGGTGTTGAACTCACACGCTTTGGATCCTGTCACTGGATCTAACTAACGCCTTTACCCACTGTGCCATGTGTCCTCTGTTTTTAATGATTTTTTTCTGTTTCTCAATATGCCCTGTGAGGGTTAGGTTTTCTAAACCCACCTTCTTCATTATGAAGACCAGGAATTTCATCTACATTTCCCTTAATTTGAACATAAGTGTCCTTTTTGTTGCCATTTTTAAAACTTACTCATCCATAGAATTCTCAGTATCTTTCTGTAGAACGATATTTCTGTTGCCTCCAGTTTTCTCCTTATTCATGGGGATACTGTCCAGCATTCACTGCCATATAAGAGGGCGGATATTATATGACAACCCAGTACTCTTTTGTTTGTTTTAATGAAATTCTTCTGTTTCTCAGCACCTTGCTTAGCTTTTGGAAGTCATCTTTTGCTAGTCCAATGCCTGTTCAGATTTTCATGTCACATTTTCCATCCTCTGTTAAAATTATTTCTAGATTTTTAAACTTCTGCATTTACTTGATGTTGACATCTTTAATTTGTAACCTGCATTTTGGGCTTTTTTTTTTTGTTTCAGATTACCATACTTTCTGGCTTCTTGCTGTTGATAGTCCTTTTTCCTACTTTCTTTTACTGCCCTATCTAGGAGGTCCTGTAGTTTTACTTTCCATACCAATCTTCTATCGGCCTATTAGCTTTCTACCTCTCTTTGGCAAAGTTCTACACGCTCAAATTAACACAAAATTAGTTATCATCTCACCTTGTAGGCTCTTCTTTCAGACAAGCAATGTGGCTTTCATTTCTCTAGGTCAATTACTGATGTGTTAACTTATTGCTGAAAGTGTCTACCAAGCTTTAGATAAGAATGGCAAAGTTCAACCTGTTGCTTTGGATATCTCGAAGGCATTTGACAGTGTTTGGCATACTGTTCTTCTTCATATGTTATAACATTTATGGACAAATTTTTGAACTGATTCAGTCTTTCGTATCAAATCTTAAATGGCCACTTTTCTAGATCTTTTTGTATTAATGCAGGTATTCCTTATGGTTCAATCTTTAAACCTACATTGTTCCTAATTTTCATAAATCAGTTCTCAGCTCAATATCTATGCTGATGACACAATTATTTACTTGTGTCTTAAGAGTAACTCTGATCAGTTTGATACAGTCAAGTTGGCAGCTGATCTAAAAAATGACCTACAATCTTTTGCTAAATGGGACAAAAAGTGGCATGTTAATTTTAATGGCTCCAAAATGAATCTGTTCTCCTTTTTATCGTCCATCAGCATAGCTGTTGCTAACTTCCAGGCGAGGTACTCATTGTAACTTGACAAACTAATTTTTCTGCTGATATGAAGTGGAAAGAATATATTGAATGATGAGGTTTGCAGCTAGGAAAGTTGGTTCACTGTGTCAAACTAGACAATTTTTCTGGTCAGAATATATCTTGCATATTTATAAATCTACCATTTGTCCTTGCTTTGAATATTACTGCCACATTTGGTCTGATGCTCTTATATATTTAGAGATTTTTGATAAAATCCAAAGAAAAATCTGCAATGTTATTGGTCCTGACCTGGCATCTTGATTTCAGTCACTTTCTGACCATTGTAATGTAACTCCCTCTGCTTTTCTATAAATACTTTCATGGTAATTTTCCTGATGAGCTTTGCCCTCTGATACCTAGACTCTACGAATTTAAGCACAATACTATATTGACAGCAAGGTCTCATCAGTTTACAGTTGAAATGGCTAGATTTTACTATAAGTTCTATGCTAACAGTTTCTTCTATCACACTCCTTGTTTGTGGAACTGCCTTTGAGATTCTTGCTTCCCTGTCAACTTTGATCTTCAAAAATCTAAATGCAATATCAATCGTTATCTTTTGTCTTCTTAATTCTTTTTTTTTATTATTCCCTCTCCTTAATAGTATATTTGGGCTGGGGCTGCTCAGTCTTCACTTTCCAGCCTTGATAGAGTTCAAAATTGTTTATATGGTCATGTGGAGGAAGACATTCTCCTTTCTGCAGTATCTTTCCCAAAGATGTAATATTGCAAGCCTGTTGTAACCTTATCACTATTTCCATGGCAAATATTCAGAAGAGCTCTATTCTTTAGTTCTACCAATTTCAACATTTATGCTATGTTTACAGAATCAAACCACCCACATCCTCACTTTCCATTCAAAATCATTTACAAAGTCTTGCAAGGAAAGACTTATTCTCCATTCAGCAACCTCTTTCCCACAGACGCAATGCTGCAAACCTCTTATTATTCTATTGCCATTTCCACAGCAATTGTTCAGATGGGGTTGTTTCTTTAGTCCTATCAGTTCAGACCTTTACAACTAGGACACACTAAGCAATATCTACAGAGTTGAATCATCATCATTTTTTTCTGCGTTCCAATAATAATAAAAAAATTCTGTTTAGAAAGCATCTACTACTTTTTAGAACCCACACCCATGGAAATGCTTCCCTGAAAACTACAATCTTAACCTCTTTGAGTCAAAGGTCAATTGCTATCTATCCTTACCCTCATTGCCTACCACCTTCTTTTTTGTTCATATCATATGAGGTTCTATACTTTGACTATTTGCTGAGTTTCAAATGTTTTAAACATATAATTACTCTTTTAAATAAACAATCTAATAAATAAATAAAGTTTAATATTTTTGTTTTAAATTCTCATAAACAAAAAATACGTAGTGCTAGAGAGAAACAATAACAACAAAATTTGCAATATGAGCTCTAGTAAAAAATGACTACTGAGACATTAGATTTATAAGTCCCAAAAATTCATACACTGATGTCCATGGCTCTGTGGATAAAAGCGTTGGTTGAATCCAGTGACTTGACTCAAAGAGTTGTGAGTTCAATACCTGGAACCAAATTTGCAGAGTTGAGATAACTGAGACATCTGGAAGAGGCATGACATGTAGAAATAGAACAATCTACACCAGTGGATAAAATAAAGTGTTCGTTTTGAAATTCCTATCACCTGAATGGCTGAAATGTCATGAAATGGCAACAAAGACAACAGTCCAAATAATGTAAATAATTACGATACTTCATATCAAAAGAACCCAAAAATTTATAAGTTCATTTTCATCACATGTTTAGATTTTATTACAATTCTAATCATTGCTTTTTAAAACAATAAACATTACCGAGGAGTGAAGGTAGTTAAAATAATAGCTGTGTTTTTTGGGTTATTTTTGTGGTCACAAATGTCCATGTTTGCCAAAATATTAATATTTTTCGATTCTGACAAGTATCATCGCCTAAGGAACATCTAAAGAATGTTAATGTACAAAACTCATTTAAAAAAAAAATTATTAATGGACCTGTCTATTTAAGTATTGCCAGGTAAGTCTATTAATTATTAGCATGAGTTCCCAGTTCTCTTTAAAAGTTGCTCAAATAGAAAGAATCATATGAAATTCCTTCTCTTAATTAGAATTAATTGGTTCTGTTATTTCAGATATAAGTGATCTGAACATACCATTATTAATTACAACTTTTCCTGAGAAAATGTTAGTCCAGTGGTATCCTGTGAGATGCAAAGTTACGATTATACCTTTGATGTACCAAATAGCTTACACAAGACAAATAGAAAAAAACGAAGAGAACCCTTGCAAATCAGGTAATTTTCTTTTGTTGATTATTCATTGCACCCTCATTCGTTAATGTTAATCCTAGCCCCCCACCCTTGAGTTTTAGGGGCATACATTCAGGGAGTTGGCCCTGGGCATTGTGTTTGTTGGAATTCACAACAGATTATCAGTACAAGCGCAGGAAGTCATACAAATGGTGAGACTTTGATCACAAATGCAGTGAGACTTTGACCACAAATGCAGTGAGATTTTGAGAGCTGATATTTATGGGTGCTGGTTTGAGCATGTTGAATACATGTGGGTTATCGGGACTATAGAAGCCGGGGGATGCTTAGCTCCCCCTGCCAAAATTTTTGCCAATTGTATTATTTTGGACAGGGTTTTATTTTAACAAAATACAATAAAGAAAGAAATACAAGAAAGAAAAAAAAAACTATCAAAACAAGGAATAATATAACTTTCATAAAAGCCCGATGAAAGAATTCTTCTGTACGATGATGGTAATTTCCCTTTATTATGTGGATGTGTTTTCATTTTAATTTGGAATTGTGGTGAGTCCAATAAATATTCAAGAAGACATTTAAAAAAAGTTGAAAAATTATTTAATTTCCAACACAAACTGTTCTCTATTATTTCAAAGATGATTTCTGCCAATCTGGAGGTACTGAAAATTTTAAATGTTCTTGCCACTAACCATATTAGCACCCTTTGATAACTTATGGTTAAATTCTAAATATTTTTTTGCCCCTCAAAACATTTGTCTCTGCTATGGCCCTGGTTAAACAAACTAGATTAAATTACTTAAATTATTGGTGTCATTTCTCGAAGCAATGTAGAGGAAAATATTATGGTGCTCATCGACAAAAAAAAAATTCAATTAATATTTAGTTGCCTGTCCTTGAGCTTTTATGATAGCCTTTATTCTTTCAAGACTGGAATTCTTTAATCAAATTGGTGCCAACTTTCCAGAATTTTAAGCATCAAATAAGATTCTTCAAAGAGTTCTGTTGATAGTTACCAACAAACTCTCAAGGATTGATTGATGAATTTGTTTTTTATAGCTTGTAAACCGTTATCAAATTTTCAACGCAAGGTGATTGCTCTCTTTAAGAAAGAACATCCAACTTGGAGTCTGAAAAAAAATTCAAGAAATTTTGCCACAGTTCTTTAGTTTGAACACCACATCTAACATTTATGTTTTTGTTGTTTTAAGCTATTAAATTTCTATCTTTTGCTTTTGTTTCAAATAACTGGAATAAAAATTCCAACAATTAAATAAACTGGATCAAATTTCCTGTTTTTCTGTCGGGCACCCTATATTATAAAGTCCAATCTCCTTTACAAATTGCAAAATCTCATTTGGTTCGGTATTTTTGAAAAGTACATTTAGGTCAGGGGTTCTCAACCAGAGGTGGAAATTTCAGTGTGAGAGGGGAAAATATTTTACTTTTTCTTGTTTTTATTTACAAAATTTTGTTTATTGAATTCCAATACCTTGGCAATCTATTGAACTTTTTGTTTATTGACGTATGCTTCAGTTTATTTATATAATAATTAGTTATGAATTAAAACAAATTTCTGTACATGCATTCAAGTTTAAAAATCCATCAACATTTTCTATTTCTATTAAATTTGTAAAGTTCCCCTATAAAGATAATCCATGTAAATGTATGTGTATTAATATGGAAAAGAATGAAGATTTTTAGTAATATATGCATATTATTTGGAATGCACCTTTTGAGTCGGACAATCTTGGAAAGTGTGTGTGGACGATGACATTCTGACATAAGGTGAAAAGGGTGCATTGGGTAAAAAAGTTTGAGAACCACTGGTTTAGGTTATCTGCTGCTTAGTACTTGACTTATAATAACTTGCAGAGATGGCTCAAGGTACTGGCAACTTAGGCAGTCAACCAGGGTGTGATTAATTCCAAGAGTTCCATCATGTCGCCATGCCATGTGTTTGGGATCATACTTGCAGTTATCCATGACTCAAGACAGATTAAATTCTTTGTCTATTGTGTTAACAGAAAATGATCTTGTAAAACAGATAGGTGCAGAAAATGCCTTTAAATGATTTGCAGATCTAAAGGCAAGAAAAAAATGTTTTAGCTAAGACTAGTAGCATAACCCGGCGTTGCCTGTGCTTGATTCAAAAATCGTACAACTCATACAGCAATCACTATCACTTGACTTAAAATATTTTTGCCCTTCCTTGCCTTTAAAGGAGTGCCCTTTGCCGTGCTGATGTTGCTACATGCCTTACTTCTTGCCTATCTCACACTGCGAATTTTTTCTAAGCTCTATACTAAACATTAAATCTGTTACGAAAAAAGAACTAAACAAATTGAACACAAAATGATCAGCTTTAAAAAAGGACTCGTAACTGGAAAAACCGAATGAAAAAAGAATGTTAACAACAAATACTTTTTCACACCCAACCCAGTTCTGCGGAATCAGAATCACCGTTGAGTTTAAGCAAGCGAATGAGCCAATTGGAGTAAAGTGCCATGCAGATTTAAATTTTTCCCACTTGTGACGAATGCAGCTATTAATTTTTTTGCATGCTATCATGCTAGTTAACATTCGTGTCAATCAGCTGTTGGCTCTCACGCTGGCCAGTAGAATCTTTCTGCCTATTCATGGCAGCCAGCTATTGGCTCTCACTCTGGCCAGTACAAAATGGCTGCAGACTACATGAAAACTGCCGTAGAAGCATGAAATAATCGATTATTTCCACTATTGATGGGAGTTGGGGAATGCAAAGTAAGTCTTGGCCTTCCCGCTAACTTGGAGCATGTGCATGTAAATTTTGGTGCAAATTTTGGTTGAAAATTGCGGCCGTGCATTCGTTACACACACACATCCTGCCTTTTATAGATAGAGATAATGAATGTTTTCTTTAGCTTGTATTAAGTTATATAGTGTAATAAACTCATTATTCTACGTTTTCATTTTTTACTCCTTGTACAAACTAAAAAAAATATATACTTGTAAGGGTACCAAAGTTCAGTATACCAGTAACCCTTGGTTCGTCACTGATAACTTGAGTAGCACTGGCTACTTGGTCAATAAATACCAAAAGTTTCAATAAAAGGAAACAGTTAATATTGCCATTATCGTTCTGTAGAACCACTTTTCTGTTGTCTGAAATCTCCTCTTCATATGCGAGTAAATTTTTCAGCATTTACTGGCATATAGATTGACTGATTGATATGCTTTGCAGCTTATCAACCATTCGCAGTTTATTTAGAGCCAGAAAATATTTTTAGATTGTAAGAATTGCTTGGAGATAATAATAATTTACTGATACAAGTCCTGTTTATTAACCCATATTTGGGGTAAATGAGGTAGGTCCATGTCTTTCCCAAAGGTATTTGCGCATAAGCAAATATGATGAACCTGACTGGAATTGAAACTCAGCTCGCTGATCTCCAATTCCAAACCATTATCCATTACACCACCTGCAAATTCGTGCTTACGGCATCTGGTATTCTCAAATGGTCACCCATCTAGGTCATAACCAGGCTCAATACTGCTTAACTTTTGTGATCATACAAGAACTGGTGTTTTCAATGTGATATACTGCCATATAGAAGGATTGATATTACATAACAACTGAGCTCTCCTATTTCTATTTTCAATTAAATTTTTCCTTTTTCTTAATACTTTACTTAGCTTCCCAAATGCCTATTTTGCTCTTTCAATACACCTTCAGATTTCTTAGATATTTAAATTTCTTTATGTTAATAACTTTTCTAATTTTAATTGCAGGTTCTCTTGTAAATGTTTCAATTTCTCACACAAGTGTCGAACTGAAAAATCTGAAAGCAAATGAATTCTACTATATCTGTATGAGGATAATAACAGTCGTTGGACCGACACCATTCACAAAACCTAATCAAAAAAAGACTAATGTGTTGTGTAAGTAAAGAAAGAAATATAGAATTTCTGTCTGAGTTTCTGCAATGAAATTATTATTTAAACTATTTACATTCAGACTATTGTCATGAAAAAGGCAAACAGTATGTGATAGGATGAATAAAAATAAAATCATACTTGTTTCTTCTCTCACATTTCTTGCTTGTGAAACTCTCTTCCAGTCTCTTGCTTTTCATTCAACTTTGATCTTCAAAAATTTAAATGCAATGCCAATCATTATATTATGTCTTCTTAATTCCTGTTTTTTATTGTTCTTTCTTAATAGTATTTTTTTCTCATATTCTCTTACACTCAGTAAACCCTTGCATCTTAGTGGCTTTATTGCCATGCTTGGGGATGAAATGATTTCATATATATATGTGTGTGTGTTGTAGATTATGTACAATGATAATGGGTATGTCCCAATTCACATAAATACAGTAGTAAATACTGTATTATTTTGCTGCCCAAACTTTCTTCCTCTGGGCAGAGAGGATCCTCAGATGAGGCTATGTCAAAGGGCAGAGTCACGTGTTGGGAAACAGCTAACCAACCCTGTTTTATACAGGGTCTACAGGGAATTTTTTGACTGAGCTTATTTGTGCCACATCTGACTGCATGGGGCGGTTGTTAGATATCCTGCAGTTGGAGATTCATCTCCAGCTGTGCTCGTCTTTCTTCCTCTGGGAAGATACGATCCCCAGATGAGACTCTAAACTTTGACATAGCCTCATCTCAAGAAACAGCCACCCAACCCTGTTTTATATGGGGTCTAAGGGGAAGTTTTGACTGAGCCTACAGGCTCAGATACCCCACATTAAATTTGGCCTTGTGCCACATTTGACAGTGTGGAGTGGTTGGTAGATATCCTCCAGTTGGAGATTCATTGTGGAATTCATTTGACTCACTTCTAGCTGTTGACTACTTCTTCTACACACAACTAGCAAATCTTGTATGTGTTGTTCTTGTCCTAAGTATGAGCGTTCATTACCAACCTTTGTTTGATTATTCTGTTCAGTAACATTTCTTAGGTTACAACAGTGTGTATGTGTCTGGGAGCATGTCTGCATATGCATATGCATGTGTGTGTGCATATGTGTGCATGTGCATTTACATATATATATTTTTTTTCTTTTTCAATGAGCTTATATTATCCAATATTATATATATTATTCTACTGAACCTTCCTCTATGGCACTTAGATATTATAAATTCAAACACAGTATTAAATTGGCAGAAAGATCTCATCATTTTACAGTTGACATGGCTAGATGTCACTGTAAGTTCTATGCTAACACTTTCTTTTATCACACTTCTTGCCTGTGGAACATTTTTCCAGTATTTTGCTTTCTAATCAGTTTTGATCTTCAAAAATTTAAATGCAATGTCAATTGTTATTTTCTGTCTTAATTCTTGTTCTTTTATTGTCCTCTCTCCTTAAAATTTTTTTTATATCAAACATTTTCATGCTTGCATTTTAGTGGCTTTATTGCCTTGCTTGAAGTGAAATGATTAAAAAAAAAGAAAATATTGATTACTACATCTAATTATACAAACGCATGTACAGAAAATACTGTTTTTGGAATATATGAATTTATGTATGCATAGGTCTATCTTTCATTTTATGCTTATATTTTTCCAGTAACAAGAGAAAGAATTATTGAATCAAAAACTGATTCTGTATATATCACAACCACACAACGTAAGTACATCTCTTTTGAATTTTGACATACTCCTTATTTGCACTAGAGGTTTCATAAAATGATCCCCTGGTACTCGAAGTTGTCTACTTGCTTTAACATAATTCCTTCTAATTTCCCTTTCTAGCTGATTGTATAAGATATGAACAATTTTCTTGGAATTTACATGTAATCTGACCATTTCTGCTATTATTGTTAGTCATTAGGAGAAGCTGTACCTTTTCTAAGTAATCAAACACTATTGACTAGTTTCTTCCCCTCTTCTCTGTCTTCCATTTTCTTCATTCATTCTTCACTCCTTAAACCAATATTGGGCAAACATGGACCTTTGTACCTGCAAAAGAAAAAGAACAAAACAAAAAAATGGTATATCAGAAGGACGGTTTTTCCATTGACACTATTATTATTTGGCTATAAAGTTCATATAACACTCATAGTTGCTGGTTAGTAAGACTGTAATGAAACCATTGGAAACAAAAAGTTGAGTGAAGAAAGTTTTAATCACATGAGAACATCGATTTATGAATACAATACTGCGACCTACTTTTTTACCACTGTTTTATGAGCAGACATTCTACTCATAGCAGATATGCAAATTGATGTTTCGATAGTAGGTGCAGAGAAGGTTAGTCAGTTTTTCTACACAATATATTTTAACTACCTTCACTTATCAACAATTTTTATTGTTTTAAAAAGTGATTAGAATTGTAATAAAATCTAATCATATAATGAAAGTGAATTTAAACATTTTTTGTTCTTGAGAATTTGCAACAAAAATGTTAAACACTATTTATTTATTAGATTGCTTATTTACAAGAATAATTTTATATTTACAACATTCTAAAAACTAATACAATTAATACTAATGCAATGTAATATTTATCATTTACCAATTTATAAAGAAATAAATATGAAAATAATTTTTTATTCATAAATTTATAAACGTTTACTTAATTGTTAAAATATGTGAACCAACTATAAGTAAATCCTTATTATTTACCATTTTATAAAGTTTGAATCGACTGACCATTAGCCACTGTTTTTCCAACCATTCTAATAAACAATATAATAAATAAATAGTGTTTGTTTTATTTTTGTTGTAAATTCTCAAGAACAAATAAATGTATAAATTCACTTTCATATGTTTAGGTTTTACTATGATTCCAATCATTGCTTTTTAACACAAAAAACATTGCTGAGGAGTGAAGGTAGTTAAAATAATAGTGGTGTCAAAGGAAAAGCTGTCTTTTTGATACTTTGAGTTTTGCAGGTATGAAGACCAGACATGTTTCAGTTGGTCTCTTATTCTTCTGTTTTCCATGTTTTGGTACTCAGAAGAATCCTTTACTCCACAGCTTTTCTTTTCTCCCAAAATGAGCCGATTGAAACATAGTCTTCTAATTCAATGAATATTTTGGTCTTGAGTGTAATAATAAAATATAACCATTTCAATATGGAATAAAACTAGTAATATAATTGTTGAAACTTGACTAATGCATGGAATAATAATGCAACACAAAATGTACTTAGAACAAAATGTATTGAAACAAGAAAGTGTACACAATATTTACATATAGTCTTTTGTATATTCCTGGTAAGAGTCTCTGGTTGAATCTCTTGATTCCTCCCTCTCTTCCCGGTACCAACCATATTTATATGGTCGGTACTCCACTATGCAAATTAGGTGGATCCTACCACAACAATAATAATAGTTCATTGGTCCTGGGGGTTGTGATAAAAAACAAACATAGCTAGATGGAATTAAACTAGTAATATAATAAAAGTACTGAGGATATATTTAGTTATATTTTAATGGATGCATTGGCATTCAGACAAAGGAGTAACAATGAATATATAATTACATGCAATTGACAACATATATAATTGCTTGAGCAAATTATATAAGGCACAAGAGCCACTAAACAGAAAGGGTCACTGAATGAATCTGTTGTATGAAACTAAGTGAAAAGAAAGTAAAATAGTAAATGAAGGTCTGTTTGTATGTAAATATGTACTTTTCCATATGTTCATGTTTAAAAAATGTTTGTATGATAGATTGTGAAAGTCATGTGTGAGACAAATTCTTCATCTATTGGTAGAATTATTAGATATGCCAGTGTATGCTAAAGTATACTAAAATAATACACAGCATTGTATGCTGTGGACTATTTTGTGTTGTGTTCAATGCAACATGAGGACCAAAAAGTTCTCCAACTTTCTATTAGGCACCTAAGAATAGTGGTATGGTTCCTTAGTGTTTTTATCGAGACACTATATCCAGCTAGCTGACCATTGACTCCTGTTCTTCTTTGTATTGTATTATTCACTACCTGAAAAAATGTGGCCTTCTGAGAGAAAGGATGAGAGATCTCTGTTGTAGAGTAGCAAAATTGATAATAGGAAATCAATGAATGATCTTGATATTTGATAAATATCACTAAATTTATATTTTCTGCAGGTGAAACGGAAACATTAAAAAATGAAGAAGGTGAGTAATATTTATTAATTTATTACAATTGACTTTTTTTGTACAAAACTCTGAAATGCTAAATTATCAAAAGTGGCATGAACCAACCATGATAATCTATGTCGAAATCATCAAGTGTTGAATTTAAAGGCTTCAAAAGCAGATAACTGATATCGATATGGTAATGATGAATAGTCTTTTTTTTATAAGGAAACATCAGGCATTCATTGACTGAACAGCCAGTACTCAAGTTAAATTTTCCTTCACTCACTGACCATTATGCTGGGATCAAAGTGTAGTATCTGTTCTCCTCATCTCTAAAGATAATGATAATATTAGCTGTTTACTTATAAGGAAACATTTTGCATTCATTGATCAAGCAGCCAGTGCTAATCAAGTTATTTTTCTTCACTCCCTGGCCATTAGGCTGAAATGAAAATCTAGTATCTCCTCATTTGTTGACCGAGCAGGCAGTGTTATTCAAGTTACGCTTTTCTTCATTGCCTGTCTATTAGGCTGGGATCAAAGTGTCATATCTAGTCTCCTCATCTGTAATGGTAATAATAATACTGTTTATTTATAAAGAAATATTTGGCATTTATTGACCAAGTAGCCAGTGCTACTGAAGTTATGCTTTTCTTCATTGCCTGGCCATTCGGTTGGGATCAAAGTATAGTATCTGTTGTCCTAATTTCTAATGGTATGGTAATATTAGCCATTTGCTTATAAGGAAACATTTGGCATTCACTGAGCAAGTAGCCAGCTCTACTTTTGGTTGAAATTTATAAAATCTTTCACAAACAAACACTTTAATACTTTAGGCTATTGTCCCATAGGAACTGTGTTCTTGGATTCAGCAAAAACAGGGCAAGAAAAATTGAGCTGTCCTAAATAAGAACAAGATGAAATATCCCAAGACATGGGCAGGATGACACAATGGCTGAAAATGTTATGATAATAACAACAAACATGTGGATAATAGTCCAAATGTAAATAAAAATGGTAGTTGCTTATTAGAAAGCAATAAAAACTAAATGTAATTTGATTTTAGAAAGAAAATCTTTTATATTTAACATTTATCTAAATATTTTATATTTTATTTTATTTATTTATAAAATTTTTTATTAAAATAAATTTTTTAATAAATATCTAACATTTTTTTTAATTATTTCACTTCAAACAAGTTGAAAATGCCACTAAGAAGACACAATGGTTACTGGGAGTGAAAGAGAATAAGAAGACTTTAGAAAGAAGAAGTGAGGAGAAAGGACAACAAAAGAACAGAGTTCCGGAAGACAGAAGATGCTGATTGGCATTGCATTTAAATTTTTGAAGATTTTAGGAGGCAGGAAAGCAAGAAATTGGAAGGCAGTTCCACAGACAAGAAGTGTGAGAAGAGGAACTATTAGAATAAAATTTAGAGTTGAATTCAGCTAGTTCAACTGTAAAATGTTTAGACCTAGTTGCCAAACTAGTAACATATTTAAATTCATGCAGTTGAGACACTAAGGGAAAAAACTCATCAGAACAGTTGCCATGAAAATATTTATAGAAGACAAGGAAGTCACATCATATTGGTGAGAAAGTGACTGAGGTCAAGATGTCTGGTCAAGATTGGTCACCTTGCAGACCCTTCTTTGAATTTTGCCAAGAATCTCGAGATATACAGCAGGGGCACCACACCAGATATGGCAGCAGTATTCAATGCATGGATGAACTTTCCTCTATGGCACCTAGACTTTATGAATTTAAATGCAGTACTAAATTGGTGGCATGGTCTAATCATTTTACAGTTGAAATGGCTAGAGGTAACTGTTGTGTCGTAAATATGTAAGGCTGACACACATAGACAATAAGAAGTAGTTTATTCTAGAAAATAATATGGTACATGGTGGAGAACATAGACTAATGTAATAAACTGTTAATCATTAACTCCCCTCCCTCAGTCAGAGAAAGTGCCATTTAAATAATCTTAGTCCAGTCTATCTTGTGGGGGTGTTCAGCTACTACATAGCAGTAACCATAAGTTCTATGCTAACAGTTTCTTCTCTTGCTCTTCTCACTTATGGAACTCTCTTATGGCTTCTTGCTTTCCAGTCAACTTTGATCATCAAAAATTTAAATGCAATATCAATCATTATCTCATGTCTTCTTAATTGTTATTCTTTTATTGTTCTCTCTGTTTAATAGTATTTTTCTTATATTCTCTAACATTCAGTAACTCCTTGTGTCTTAGTGGTTTTATTGCCTTGCTTGGGTTGAAATGATTTAAAAAATATTTAAGATATATATTATTTTAAGATTTACATAGATTTTTATTGTAATAAATTTTTAAATAAATATTTAAAGATTTTATAAGTACAATACTATTTTTATATACATTCAGACTATTATCCTCAACTTTGTAGTTATCAGAAATTTTGGCCACTTCACTCTCCAACATTCTCCACATGTCTTTTGATCCAGGTAACATTCTTATCTTAATCAACTTATGAAAGTTCTTTGTTGGGCAGACCTTCCTCAGATCTTTCCATTTTTGCCATTCATTGGGAGGAATGCAACATTAACCTAACAAGCTAGCCCAATGCATATTGGTAGGGGCTTATCACTCCTGGTATTCCCAATCTAAGTACTGATCAGGCTCAATGTTGCTTAACTTAGGTGATCAGACAAGAACTGATGTTTCAATATGATATGGCTGTAAGCACACTAAACCCTTTATTTAATTTATAGCGATAAATTGTTCTCATTCAGTCAATCATATCTATGAATATCTTTGTCCATAAAAGAGATCCCTTATTCTACTGTAATTAGACATTATTTGCTTAGAGTTTTCAACATTTTAATGAATCTTGTTTATATTTACAATTAAAAGTTTAAAATAATTCCTCATTCTTTCAGGAATACCTCAAGCTGTAAAAATTATTCTTTGTATTACTGCAGGGATATCTTTTGTTATAATGGTTATTTGGTAAGTAATTCTTTAAATTTATTCTATTCATAGACAATTGAGGACAATTTAAATTCAATTGCATTTTAACACAAAAAGGAATATATTGTTTAAAATGTGCTATGTTTATGGGAGAAGAGTGGTCAAGATAATACAAGGTGCCCACTAAAAAAGTGACAAATTTATTCTTTGAGAAAATACAGCAGCTCTAATTGGTCCATATCAGTAGCCCTCTAAAAGCCACGATCTGAATGTTATGAATTATTGTATCTGGAGTATACTCCTAACTCACTTGCAAAAAATGTCATTGTGACATTGTCAATATTGATTCATTGAAATGGAAGTTAACTGAAGCTTGGAATAAAATTCCTCTTGACATGATCCACAAATCTACTGCCTCCTCCTTGTTACCATGCTTACAACTTTGTGTTGAATATTCAGGCAAACATTTTGAACATCTATGATGATTGTTCAGTTTGTGCATGAATTATGATCAGTCACTTATGTGCCATGCATGATACATGCTTAGGCAATCATGTAGATCAAATTATTTCCTGCAGTAGGTTGCCATTTCTTTCTGTGGTAGACCAGTTGCCATCCAAGGCTATAGAACCTGGTCTATCCCCATAGCTGTGGGGCGAAGAAGAGGATTCATACCCATTTCCCAAGGGTATTAGCATGTAAGTGAATGTAATGGATTCGACTGGAATTTGAACTTCTCAATCTGAGCCACTATCCATTACTTCACTGCGCCTCATGATAGCTAAATAAATTTCTTTCTGAATTAACCACTTTTTTTACTGGGCACCCTGTAAATTAGTTATAATAAGTAGGTAATATTTATCAATGTTAGCACATCCACAATAATTTTTAGGTCTGATACTTCTGCAGCAAGAACATCTCGGGTTTTCTTTTCAGCTTGTAATTTTTCTTCTGTCTAAAATAAAAGCTAAACCAACAGAAACTTTAAATTTTTCTAAAGTGTTTCTTACTTTTGAAAAAGTATTTGTTCCTTTGAAAACTGATTGTTTTAGTATGCATAATATTAATACAAATAAAAACCTACTGCTGGTTTTGTTCCATATCATCACAACAAAGAAAGTTTTTTTTTTTTTTTTTTTTCCCAGTGCATATAAAAGTTGCATTTACTCTAAACTGTAGTCTATTAAGTATATAATAGTATTAGGTTTAAAAAAAATGTTATTACTCCCAAATTTTGACACAAATTTAAGGAAATTTAATTGGTAAAATAGAGCAATTTTTCTCAATACAGAGTTGCTGCAAACTTTGAATTTTTTTTAAAAAATAAGGATAATATCTGTAGAGTGTAACTAAGTGAAAAGACAATAAAATGAGGTAATTAAAACAAATATTATTAATATATTAACACTGGAAAAATGTTTTTAATTTAAAGTTCAAGTTTAAGTACAATAAAAAAAACAGATAATACAGGGTGCCCATTAAAAAAGTGGCAAATTTATTCTTCAAGAAAATACAGCAGCTCTACTTGGTCCATCCCAGTGGCCCTGTAAAAGCCCAGATCTAAATATTATGGATTACTGTATATGGAGTATACTCCAAACTCACTTGAAAAATCATCTTTCTGATATTGTCGATATTGATTCATTGAAGTGGAACTTAACTGAAGCTTGGAATGAAATTTCTCTTGATCCTATCTGCAAAGCCTCCTGGCTACCAACCTTATAACTTTGTGTTGAACATTCATGCAAACATTTCGAACATCTACAATGATTGTTTAGTTTGTGCATGAATCATGATAGCTAAGTAAATTTCTTTCTGAATTTATCGCTTTTTTACTGGGCACCCTGTATATATGAAACTGCAATTATTGATTCTTGACAGAATGTTAACTTACACCAGGATTTTTTCAAATATCTCCTTTCTTAAAAGAAATGGTCTTTCCTCATAAAAATTTTAAGAAAATTGTTAACTCAAGGCCTTTAATTATTTAAAGTAAATAAATTAATATATAATTTAACAAAATAAAATAAAATACATAGAAATAAATAATAATTCTATTAAAAAAAAATTAACAACATTTATTCAATTTTCTTTATAAGGCACTAAATTACATCACTTGGCATCTTTCATAGTGTACCTTCCCTTAAGAATATTTTAGAGCATTCTGAAATTCAAAATTTGAAAACATATAAATACAAGTTATGAATTAAAATCTGCACATTTACCATGATAAAGTTTCTCAAGGAACAAAACACGTTTTTTCTTTTGTGTTTTTTATATTATATATATATATATATATATATATATATATATATATATATATATATGATGAAAAATAAAGAACAAGTAGGAAACATATCTCAATCGATAAAAAAAAAAACATGTTTTTCTTTTTATTAAAACCTCATCTGTGATCAAAATAAAATGAAAAAGCAAAGAGAGTT